TTATTATCAGGTAATATTTCAGGAAGATGTGTAGAGTCATTTGAATTACTACCAGATGCTGAGTACTACCTCCTTTTTTATTTCCCTGATTAGTAACCTTATTACAAACTCTTTTTGCAGCATTAAACATATTGTAAAAATTTAACTACTGGCAAAAATTAAATATGCAAATAAAATAGTAAATAAGAGAAAGAGTTGGAGGAAGTGCACCGAATTCGGCAATAAATTGAACAATTTTGATGATTTCGCAACTCCAATGTTACCACGAAGAAACGTCAATTGTTCAAACTTCAAACTTCAAATATAAAATAATACGATAAATAAAATTTCAAAAAAAATGAGAGCCAAATACTTAATTGCACTTTAGGTGAAGAATGAGAGAATGATAATTGAGAATATGAGTTTGAGAAATGAGAGATGAGTGAAGAAATGAAGAAGAGGGGGGGTGTATTTATACTTTTTCAAAGGCTAATTAGGTAATTATAAAAGGTGTTAATTTTTTTTAAAAAAGGCCCAAAAATGGGCTATTTGTGCAAATCTGCCGTTGGGCAACGGCCACAAGGGCCAGAAGACCGTTGCCAACGGTCAGAAAAAGTCAGACCCCATTTAAAAAAAATATGAAAGTAGCCGTTATACCGGTCTGGGCCGATCCGGTCCAGACCGGTTAACCGGTTTTACAGTTTATCCCATTGACCGGGTTTGACCGAGCCGGTTAACCGGTTTCCCCAAGGTAAACGGACCAACCCATTAACCCAGCCCATCCGGCCCCCTTTGTACCGGTCTGGGCCGGTTCCGATTTCAACCGGTCTGGGCAGGTCCGAAAACGAGTTGACCCGGCTCATTAGACACCCTTAGTTTCAATGCTCCGGAAGTATCACGGTGATCCATCTCATGTGTTGGATTTCAGCTCAGTCCAGTTGGACAAGGATCTATCTTATGTTGAGGAGTCGGTAGCTATTTTGGACAGGCGGGTTCGAAAGCTGAGGTCAAAGAACATTGCATCAGTAAAGGTTCAGTGGCGGAGTCAGCCGGTCGAGGAGGCGACTTAGGAGACCGAGCAGGATATGCGCAGCCGTTACCCTCATCTTTTCACCACTTCAGGTATGTCTCTATGCTCATTCGAGGACGAACGATTATTTTAAGAGGGGGAGGATGTAACGACCCGGCCGGTCGTTTTGAGAGTTAGAGCCTTGATCCCCTATTAACTGCTATCCCCGTATCTATTCCTGCTATTGTGACTTGCCGGGAGGTTTCATTTTGGTTTTTTGAAGTGTTTGGGACGCTTAGTCCCTAAATGGAGGTTTGAGTCATAAGATTTGGACCGTAATCGGAATTGTGTGAAGACGACTCCAGAATAGAATTTCGTCAATTCCGTTAGCTCCGTTGGGTGATTTTGGGCTTAGGGGCGTGTCCGGATTGTGTTTTGGAGGTTCGTAGCTCATTTAGGCTTGAAATGGCGAAAGTCGAATTTTTGGATTTTTGGTCCGGTAGTGGAATTTTTGAAATCGAGGTCGGATTACGATTCTAGAAGTTGGAGTAGGTCCGTAGTGTGGATTATGACTTGTGTGCAAAATTTGAGGTCAATCGGGCGTGGTTCGGTTGGTTTCGGCATCGTTGTCGAATTTGGAAGTTTCAAGTTCATTAAGTTTGGATTGCAGGGTGATTTGTGTTTTTAGCGTTGTTTGATGTGGTTTGGGGGTTCGACTAAGTTCATATGGTGTTTTAGGACTTGTTGGTATGTTTGGTTGATGTCTCGGGGGCCTCGGGTTGATTTCGGGTGGTTAACGGACATTTAGACTTAAGAAGAAGATTGCAGAAATTGCTGAAGTCTTCAGCTCTAGTTTGCATATAGATATAGATATATATAGATTCCTTGAGTATGATAAGATTGTCTCATATGCATTCAGATACTTGCATATTTTATTTCAGAAGTTTTGGATTGAAGAAAAGGAGAGAGGAGAAGAACACGAGCAAGAAAGAAACGGCAGGAGCTTCTTTTGGTTTGCATTGATGGGGAAGAAGATATAATACTTATTTATTAATGAGTCCAGGTCCTTTAAGCGATACAAAAGATGTTTCACAATTGTACATGGAAATAAAAAAAATAAAATGCTTCTGCCGGGAGTCGAACCCGGGTCTATTGCTTGGAAGGCAATTATCCTAACCGTTGGACTACAAACGCTTGTTGTTGAACTATAATATTTGTTGTGTATATATTCAGCAATAATCAGCTCAGAAGTCACACTACGGGGCAGCCGTTGCACAAAGCATCCCGTATTCACGGAGGATCTGGAAAAGGGTCATACCCTAAGGAGTAAGGGGTATAATGTAGTCAGCCTACCCTAATGCAAGCGACAATGATTCAGAAGTGACATCTTAATCATAATCAATGAAAATTTACCTCTTGTGTTCTTCCTTTCCACTTTGCATCTTTCAGTTATATATTATACTAAATTTAAGATTTGTTCATAATCTATGATAACAAATATTTGGTGTTTATCTTGTAGAGATAGTATATACTCATTCAATAAGAACTTAGTATATACTCATTCAATAAGAACTTAGTCCCTTTCAAATTCAACCAATCTATTATGGAAACTACGTGATTGTGTTCTTGAGAAGTTGGGCTTTGTTTAGAGATCCTTGTGTATAAGTACCATAACAAATTATTAATAGGAAGAGTTGTTTGACTACTATACTCTTATTTACTCTTTACATTTAGGTTTTCAACGTTATGTAATCAATTTATTTATTTTTTAATTTCAAGAACAATTAATACTAAGGACAAAATGAAAAAAATAATTAATTACATCTTAATTTCCTAAAATAATAATATTTTTGACCAATTATTTTTAGTAACCATGACAACTAAAATGGACTGAAGGGAGTGATAAAATCATAGAGAAAGCTCATAATAACTCCTAAGGGTCGTTCAATTTGCAAATAAGTTATATCTCGATTATAATACCAAAATTAAATAATGACGATATTTAATGAATATACTATAATCAGTAGATGTGTGTTCATTGAATTAAAAATGGGGTATGTGCAATGTAAAACCTGTGTTTGATTTTACAATAAAAACATTTGAACAAACTTTAACTTTCAATTTTAACATTGGCCTTCTTAAAGGACTTTGAGAGGAGTTTTGGAGTGCAATTTTTGTCTTTTGGTTGTTTTATCCCAAGATTCGCTAACCCCTATATATTGAATGTGTTATAAAGCAATATTACAATTATGGTATAACTAATTTTGAAATTATTTATACCGAAAATAAAAAATCAACCTAAAGACTCAATAGTCTCGCATTTTATCCCGCAAATATTATCCATTAAACTTCTAATCAAACGACCCATAAGAGCAGTGAACACTCCCTCCCTCCTCACGTTTGTCAATAGGAATAAATTAACCCACAAATACACGAAATCAATGAATATATGACATTGTATATACATATACTTCTACCACTTAAATGTGGTAAAGTAATATACGTTTTTACCTCAATATATCATTTAACCATGTTTAGCTAAAATAATTTCGTGTGGAGTAAATAAATTTTTCACCAATATGATTGCGAAATTGTTTGGACACAGAGAAAACCAAACTTCAATTATTTGTTTATTGAAAGAAGCATCGCAGGAAAATTACGTAGAATATGCCAAAATGTCTGCTTAGGTTGACCTTAATTGTAGTATTTTGCTTCAAAAATCAATTACTAATAAATAGAAAATGTTATTTGATGGTAGGCTATAATTACGTATTTTAGTCGCTTATCGCACTCTAATTTACTGCACTTTAATTGAGTTTGAGCTTTAATCGCTAGTGTTTTGCACTAATTATGTGTTTTATGCCTTGTAGGAGTGATTCCGAGCTATGTAGATGTTACCGAGTGAAATCGAGCTATTTGGACCTTTGAAGTCTGAGTAAAAGCCCAAGAGATTAAGCTGCGATCGCGTTTGGTGGTCGAGAACCACGTTTGAAATTTAAAAATCAAGCAAAAAGCCAAGTTCGGAGAAAAACCCATGCAGCACGTGAGGCGGCGCGTGGCGCGCCATGACTGCCTTATTTTGTTTGTTGCGTTCAAAGTGCACACCCTCTGAAGATCTCCACTACCGCCCCGCCACGCAGCACGCCTGTACAATTTTTATAGAGTGGATGTCCTATTTCGGCTACGAGAAGGTGGTTTCTTTTGGGTCCGACCCTATTTGGTATAAATACATGTAGAGAACGTTATGGAGAGGAACTTTTGACCAAGGGAGAGCACATTTTGGTTCTTTCATGACTATTGTTATTCGGATATTGATTTTGCTTTCTTGATTTATCATATTGGTTTATTTATTCAATCTTGCGCTTAATTATTTAATTGCTTGGTCACCAATTGAATATTATATACGAATCTAGAATTAAACTTCGAAAGTGGGAATTCTAGATTGCACACAGGATTGAATAGAGCAAGTTCTTAAACCTGGACATCGGGGAACGGATTCGCAGTTAGGATAGACATATACTTAATTGTCTTGCTTGGCTGATGTACATGAATTATAAATGCGTTCTTGTTAGTTCTAATTCCATAAACATATAGGCATTAGGTTAGCTTGAATAGGCGAGTAAGAACTCGACAAATTCTTATGAGCAATATTAACCCTGTCAACCAATGAACTAGATGAATTAGTTAGTCAATTCGGTTCGACACTCTATCTTTTCACTTTATTACTTGACGACAACATATACTTGCATGTGCATTTGACCGCAACATTATTCTCTAAGTTAAAAATTGTGCGGACATATACACCCTTTCCACTTTTGACTAGTAAAAATAGTATACTGCAACTAAGACAACTAGAGAGTACGAGTTATCCGCATGCGGCGCTAAAAACACAAGTAAGCACATTCTGCCTGAGTTTTAAAACATTCCTATGCCTTCAAGCCATGGATGATGGGTGAGATTTGGCCTCTGCCGCGAAATAACTATCAAGCGTGACCTGAAAATACCAACAAACTTGAACAAAACCACTTTGAGAAATCAAACTAGAGCCGTGGCCTCAGAGAAAATTACAAGAGCACTCATTCAAAGGTGTTAACAAATAATCATCTTACCTCTACAAAGCTTATACGACAGGGATTGTCCTTGTAAAGGGACAAGAATTATCACAAAGCAAATCATTGTCCTTTCTATCTAACCAAAAAATATAGGATCAAAGGGAAAAAAAAAGAGTTAAAATATTGTCTGCGCAAAAATGATACATGCACCCTCTGTCATTGGCTTCACCATCTTTTCACAGCATCTCAATGAGGTTTCAGTATCACATGCCTGATTTACATGCTTCATTTCATAGTAGTAGCGCCACCATAGCAGGAAAAAAACTACAAACTGGTAAGAGGCTCGTAGCATATAAAGCAGTTAGCAGGGCCTTCTGCACAAAAATCAAGAGGTTTGTGCATTTGCATCATAAGAAGTAATCAGGTGTTCTTCGGGTTACATCTGGTTCCCCTCTCCTTGGAGCTGGTTCAAACTGCAAAAGAAATATTTTTCAGACCTCACGAACAGTTGCAATTCTCATAGAGCGCACCTAATACAGTAAACTAATTAGCAAACCTACTCGTTTGAGCTTGACAAAAGAAAATTGTACTAGAATGAGGGGAGACCAACTAAAAAAGATAAGGAAAAGCAAAAGGCAGAGACCTGAATGAATGTGCGCTCCCTGGAATCATCAACTTCCAAGATGGATGCCATATTGCCACAACGGTAACAATAATTAGGTGCACTAAAGATGGTAACCACCTTTTGATCCTGCAACGACAGCATCGCTTGTCAATCTTCCGTTCTCTTGAATCAAAACAAACTTTCACATAAAGAAAAAGGATTTAAAGGAGAAATTACATGGGCCCAATTGAATCCCTCCATAACCAGCTGGTGTGCTCTAGCAATTAGCTTCAAGTTGTTGGTGTGGTTAAACTGCTCAGAGATATCCTGTTGTAATTCATTGACAAGATAGCAAAAGCTTCATTTGCTGACAAGAACAAATAAGAAATACCCGTATGAATCAGAGAGAATGGAAGTGTAAGTGATATGCAAATTACTTGGCCAAATGTATATCCAGCACCCCTAGGTGAGATACCCCAACCACAACGATCATCAGGATCAGACCATAAAAGATCACACATAGCACCCTCATGTGGAACTTCTTGTACACGGTCAAAATTGCGAATATTATCAAGAGTTTCAATAGATGGAGACAAACCACCGTGTAGGCAAAAAATCTCTGACTCAACCTACAAAAGAACCCATTAAGAGTAGAATTGCATACCAAAGACAACAATCTAAAATTCTAACTAATAAGAAAATGTGTTTAAGGCATATTTTCCAGTTTCTGAAATTATACAGCAAGGTAACAGCCCGTAACAGTCCAACTAATGATATTGTCCATGTTAGACCTAGATCCACACAGCTTTGAAAAACATCACCAAGGTCTGAGGTTTGCTCCCTAAATACCCAACATCATTTTTGTGTTCCGCCGATGCGGGATTTGCCTAGAGTATCACGTACCCAGGAACTCTGCGTCCTTGTTAAGGTTTGCCCCGTCATCGCTCAAGGTTGCACATAGTCTCACTCTGATATCATATGTAGCAACTCAACCCACAGTGATGATGTCCATTTGGAACTTAGGTCAACACCGCATTAAAACGAGCCGCTAGGGTCTAAGACTTGCTTCCTTATATACAAAATATTTCTCATGTATTTTTGTCGATATAGGATTGCCTAGGGTGTTAAACATCTATCCAAATTCTCGAGCTAAAAACCACTGAACATAATAGCAACAATTATGGTGTTTCTTTTACATATTAGTGGCTATGGTTTTTTTTCCCGATAGTGGCCAGGCTAGCAATTTACAGTTTTATGTCAAAGTACTACGTCAAATACAACTGTTACCTCCCTCTCCCCTTTAACTCCAACACCAGATAGGTAGGAACATAAATCTCTAGTAATATGGAAAGCCATTTGATCTCAATCAAAATAGGCAAAGAAAGCCTGTGTTGATTGATCAGTAAGAACCCACATTATTTAAATTCTATCCCTGCCTCTCATCTAACTCGGCTTTCCCCGCTCCTTTGAGAACACTACGGACAAACCAGATTTCAGTGTGCACTTTTCGAATAGATTGTGTTAAAGACAGTCTGATCTTATTTAACATGAATTTCTGCGTTCACCAACCGTACTCCCAACAAGATTAATCATAACAAACAAAATATCCAAGTTGTAGCTTTGGAAAAAGGTTATTCTGATACACATTTGATTCTAAATCTAATGAAATCATGTTTGAACAAAAGCAACTTGATAGAGCTTCTAAGTGAGCATGAGTGATTAGTTTGCAAACTCTTTAAACCACTTTTTCAGGATAATTGAAAACACTTCAAGCCACATCGAGTTCCAACTTTGATTTTGGGTTTTGCAAATGTGTTCCCACATAGGGCTTTCATACATTGAACACAAGTCCATTTAAGGCAATATATTGAGTATTTGAATATATAACCCTAGCATAAAGAACTCTGCTAATTCATAATCTCAATATGTTTTGGGTCCATTTTCAAAAATAAAAAAATAAATGGATTAAGCAAGAGGATTAACGTATCACATTATCCAAAGAAAAATACTTGGATAACCTCAGCAATATACATAATAATTTAAAAAAAAAAACACAGAACCATGTGTTACGGATCAAAATCAACCCCAAAAAACAAAGCTAATTGCATAATATGTAATAGGTAATCCGTTGACAGACGTTAAAAGGAGGATATTATACTAACCAAAGCAGTCAGAGGAAAGTAGTCAAACAGATCTGTGAAAGTCTTCCACACATTGGCATTACCATACCTGTAAAATAAAAATGCAGAAAATCACTAAACATTTATTGCTATAAAACTTAACAATAAGACGAGTTCGAAGAGCATCCAAAAGACACAAAATATTACAGAACAAGGGAATTGAAGATGAGCTACTAATGGAAGAAAATGCGTTCTAACCTTTTCCTTTTGGAATAAACAAAAAGCATTCTAAGTTGCAAGTTTCAACAGTTACTCTGTTTTTTGCTTAATAAAGAATAACGTTTCAGACTTGAGAGCGAGCTGTATTCTTAAACTGATATACTTCATGAACATCAACATATGCTACATGCACATTTCGACACTTATTTTAAAGTACATACGCCAATAACCCCAGTATAAAAATATTTTCGTTTCTCAACATCTGCACGAACCAACTGGATCATCTTAATTGGGACAGAGGGAGTATTGTTTTGAGTTCCACACTCAATCCATCATTATCATATAGCATTTGACACATAGCGTTTTACTTTATGAACTCATATCGACTCTGTACATTCACAAGATAAGTTATACCATACATCATATGCATGGGCCATGGAGGGAATTGGGAAGTATCCCACTAAAGCAACTACAATTTCATAGAAGTTAAAATGATGAATCACATATGTCGACTATATATCTTGAAAAACAACTACCATAAAATCCTTATTTAGAAAAAACTACTACTATGATAATGTTTAGGCTGTGGAACCTAGATATAGACATGTCAAGAGAATTCACATATAAACAGCACGCCCTTAACTGTGAAAATACCAAGACAAGGAATTTTTTTAATCCAAATATCCAAACCCACCACTCCCTGCTACCTCAAGGCCAAAGAAGAGGAGATCATACAATATAACATACAAGAGGTAAAATTAAGAGGACTTACTTCCGTAGGCATTCATCATAAAACCCATAAACCTGAGTAATCTGCAAGAGACGGAGCAACAATCAGTGCTCGCCACCAGATCTATTCAAGATTAAAATCATAATTGAACAAATGAATAAATTCTTTTAACTCACTGCATAAAGGGATCCATTTGATGAGGTTTATGTAAAATGTAGAGACAGGGAGATCTTTAAGTCAAGAATGAAGTATACCTGGCGACTCTCATGATTACCCCTTAGGATTGTAATTCGCTGGGGATAGCGCACTTTGAGAGCCACCAAAAGCTGGAAAAAGTGAAAAACAGATGAGCTTATAGTCAATGAGACCATCACTAGCAACATCTACATAACACTAAGCCCATCTCAGTAGTGAAGAGGTGTTCCAGTACGATAGTGAAAAACTATTTATTATGTCTGTAACGATGTAAAACTTATGCGTTCCTGCATTCCAACATGCCAATTTCTAAAACTAACAGTGTACCCATAATATCAAACAAGCCAAACCAGCCCATTCATAAGTGAACTATTATAGTTATACAGTAATAAAAAGCTTTCCACACCTCAGGTAGCGGAGAACAGAAGATATTTCTCCAAATCCAAGAGATCACATGCAAAAAAGTACTGTCCCGAAAAAGTATAACGCGAGATACAAGAAGAGAGGCATATGGGAGATGGAGAAGTTTACAAGCATTGCATGACTTTATGATAAACAACTGATGTATTATTACTGCATCTACTTGTTTTAAGAAATAAAGGAGTTAGAAGCTTACCGTTACTGTTTCAACAGAATAGTATCCACGATCCACATAATCTCCCATGAATAAATAATTAGTGTCAGGACACTGCCAATAAAACCAAATTAGGATGTGCAAGAAAAACAAATCTAGTGCAATCACTTTCTTGGAAACATTAAAACTACATATTTGCATGTCATAATACAGCCACATTAACACTCTTAGAAACAAGCATTATGTAGCTCATATCCTGAACAGTAAAGAAGTCCTCGGAACTCGATAATCAAGTGACTGAACATATCCTACATCATTTCCGAAGATCTTTCTTTTCTTTTTTCTTTCCATTGCATATTGATTTTGGTTTGCTCCATGGCAATGAAAAGAAGCCACGTTTTACCTCTCTTGAGTTAGTGAAATGGATTATATTGTACTGTGTTCACTTTCAGATTATTAACACAGTTTCATGACCAGCAACAAAACTATGTCTCAACACTTGGATAACAGTATATGCAACATTGCATCTCACTTCTAAAAACATATTAAGAAAATTCTCCTTCTTTCTGAAGAAAAGAGAAATTCTTCCCCAACCAAACGACTAACCAAATGACTAATATACTCGAAAATGTTCATTGACACCACGAATTGCTGCGACAAATAAAAGACAATTAAGAATTTTTTCTTGCTCTAGCATGCCCCTAGTCTCATCTTCCGGCAAAGAACAAATCCGTAAAGGAGAAAGCAAAGAACAAGAAAATGTGATACCTTTCCACCAATTCGAAAAAGCTCAGCAAGATCATGGAACTGACCATGAATATCACCACATATAGTCACAGGGCTTTTCACAGGCTGCAATAAGGAAAATCCAATAATCAATCTATCCACGGAGTTGGGAATATTTTGGATACTAATTACATGTAAAATGTTAAAAATGAATAGTTTTGAAAAAGCTCTCAAATTCATTAAAATTATATTCCAATTCTTAATCACATTCTGTCATAAAAGAAAAAATTACCTCACTCTGCATCTTTAAGATGATAAAAATACAAGGAGAGTCAAAATCCAGCCTATCCTACACTGAATAGTTTGGACCTTACACTACTTTCTCATAATAGATGTTCCAAATTTAGTCCTCCTGGATATGGCCTAGTGGTTGAGGCAAGAGAGCAACAATCTAAAGATCCCAGGTTTGAATCCCACCTACAACACTTACTGCGAGCATATTTGCTCTAGCTTAGTGAGCAGGAGTACCTGGCAACCTGTACTTGTGGGTTAGACAGGTTGCCAGATAAATCGTTAAGTTGCACGCACGCCGGCCTGGACATCATTGATTAAAAAAGTGATGTCTACATTGACTACCAAAAGATTAATACTAAAGCACTGGTTCCAGAAGCATCTTAGTTTCATCTCGACCAAGACTTGTCGAGTTGATTTTTCTTCTCCTATGACTCTTTTATGTGGAAACAAAGAGCTATTAGATTGAGATTGGTAGAATATTATAAGGATTTGAATTGTGAAGTAAGGAAATTAGTGGGAAAGATTATACTAATATTTGTCTGGTTTGGAGGGGAAAAACTTGTACTTAGTGAAAAGAAAAGGCAAGAGAACATAACCAATCATCAAGGTATCATACCTGCACGTTGCTCTCTTCCATTAGAATCTCCTTCGCTTTCTCACATAGTCCTCTTACCTATACAGCAACATGAGCTCCTTTATCGCTAATACAGGAGGACTAAAACATACGCACCATCAAAAAAGGGCAACATGCAGCAAGCCATTAATTAAGAGTGTAATACAAGCTCAGATATACAAGCTCAAACAAAACAACTCCACTAGAAGACCCAAAGTATCCTAAATATAGACCTCTACTCTCCTTTTTATAAGCTTCATGGGCACCCATTTCCTGTATACAAGCTTATGTAATAATGTATGCCATAATCTTACTGAAAACTCATCTACAACTCTGCAATAAGCCAATACCAATCTTTTCATGGTTTTCAATTAGAGATATTGTATTATTTTAGGGCATTTGCAGATTCAATTACAAGCCCATGAAGGAACTTATCAAAAAATGACAAGCTCATAAACAAATTCAAGTTCATTTTCTTTTAATGCGGAACTCAGGAGTCATCTGGTACTTAAACCCCCAGGATTGGAGATGGAGATCCTTTCCACTAGCATATCCCTCACTTGTCAAAACAAGATCAAGTTTTTCACTTAAAAAGGTTATGACCTCACTAATTCTTTCGTTGGATCTTGGAATTCTGAAGAAAAGGAAAGTAAAAACAATTTTAAAATAAAAATGAGGGTAAGTACACTGCACGTTTGACTCACTACAATTCAGTGGCGGGGCTAAAGGAAGCATGGGGGGAAACTGTACTGCACAAATAGGGTAAAAGCAAACTATTTTTGCTATGGTGTTAAAAACAATTGTATACCCTTGACATAAGAAATTATTCTAGTGTAGTGTTAAAGGGTGTTCAAAGATTGCCTTAGATCACAAGTTCAAATCCTAGTGTGACACTCTAGTATTTTCTTGAATCCCTTTATATGAATTTCTAGGAAAATGATACTAAAGAAGACTAGAACGAACATTTCCATGTTTTCCCTACATCCAAACTGAAAAGAAACTGAAAATTTTCGAAATCTCGAAATCCAGCAACACATATATGAAGAACACACGGATCTGATTCTCAAACCCATAAATCTTAGACCAGAATATCAAGAAAAAGCCACGAAATTAAAGAGAGAATAAAAAAGAGCAGCAAACCCAGATCCGAAAAAAGAAAAGAAAAGGGAAATTGAACCTCCTGTTCAGACAAGGGTTTGCACTGCATAAGCTGAGCAATTTGTTCGTCAAGATTTCCATGAGATGCGCTCGATGGCACCGGATCCATAGCTGATTGATCTTCTTTTCTACTGCTTCTGGAGGGAAATTTGTGCAGAAACCCTAGCGGAAAAGGGGGATAAAATCAAACGGTGTTTGATTTGATTTGATTTTCTCTCAGCTAGAAAGGAGAGAGAGAGAGAGAGAGAGAGGAGTGAGCGAGTGGTGGTGGTGAAACCAAAGAGGAAAGGGCGAAATAGGGAACCTCTCTTTGCTTTTTGTCCTGTTTTCGAACTTCTTCTTCTTGTTTTCTTTTTCCTTTTTTTCTTTTTCTTTTTCCATTTTGTGACTATTTTTTTTATAACGTAATTCTATTTGGGATCAACCGACCTGCCTAATTAATCTACATTAGCATTCATAAAGTTTAAGAAAAAAGTGCTTTCCATCAAATATCGATTAATTTTATTAATTGAATCTAAAATTTCTAATTATGAGTGAAAAGAATGTATTTATTTAATTCATTTTTATGATTATTTCATTGAAGGTTTTTCTATATACAAAATTAGGACATTATTAATCTGCTTTAACTAGAGTTTTATTATAAATAATATATAAATTCTGTCAAAACATATCATTTATATATAACTTTTTGTTGTATAGAATTCGGTCAAAATGTACAACTTTTATACAATTTATATATAACTTGTAAATAAATTTTTACAATATTTATACTATATTCAAGTTTAATGGTGGAATTATTATATTTAATTTGGGTGAAGAGGTTTGAATTGGGAGAAGGAAGAAAGGGAAGAGAAAACAAGGAGGATTGGAGCCTAATATATTACTTAGTAGTTTGTATAGAATTGGCAATTATGTATAAAATAACAATCCAGTAAAATCTCACAAGTGGGGTCTAGGGAGGGTAGAGTGTATGCAAACGTTACCCCTACCCCCGAAGAGGTAGAGAGGCTATTTTCGAAAGACCCTCGGCTCGAGAAGAAGAAAAATAAATAATAGGCAATAGACAATAGATCAGTGACAGCAGTAGAAGATAAAAAAATAGTAATAGCATCGTAAGAAATAGAAAAATAGATGTAAAAACAATAACTATAAACAACAATACTACTATAGGAAATAGCGAGGAAACTACATAAACCACTAACAATCCACAGCGAAATATCAACAGGCCAGTCCAGCCCCCAGAACCACAAAGGAAAAGAAAAATGCTCGTCTCCCTCCTAATCTACAACCCTAATGCTCGACCTCCACCCCTTCCTATCCAGAGCCATGTCCTCGGAAATCTGTAGTCGTGCCATGTCCTGCCTGATCACCTCACCCAAATACTTCTTAGGTCATCCTCTACCTCTCCTCGTACCTGCCAATTCTAACCGCTCACACCTCCTAACTGAGGCATCTATGCTTCTCCTTTGCACGTGCCCGGACCATCTAAGAATCACTTCCTGCATCTTGTCGTCCATGGGAGTCACGCCCACCTTCTGTGAACACGTGATTTTTGCCCTATATGAATCACTCCCAGAAATTCAAACAAAATATTTTCTTTCATTATTTTGCAATTTTGTGAAAAATACAAATATACTTGGCATTTGCATTTGGGAGTTAATTTCACATTTTAGGATTAATTAGTAGTAAAGTTACTTTAAATAAAGAAAATAGCAAAATTGGTTCTTTTGGCATTTATACTCTTAATTGTCTTAGTTTGAGTTTATTAGGAATTATGGTATTTGAAAATTGAGCAATATAATTTTAGAAGTCAATTTGGGTTTTATTTGTTGATTTGGCATTTAATAAAAATCAGAAAATAGAAATACAAAATAAAAAGGGAAAAGAAAAGAAAACAAATAAAGAGAATTAAAAGGCTGCTCGAATTTGGGCTTGATTTTAACTTAATAACCCCAGCCCAAAGAAACCTTCCCAAACCCGTTTGAATTGGCCCAAACCAAATCCGGTTCGCCCCATTACTTAACCAAACGACCCCGTTTTGATGGTCTTAAATCCCAGCCGTCGAGGATCTTTGATCCAACGGCTGGGAACTAATTTAATTCTCATATATAATGGTCGGATCACCCCTCCCTACCCCCCAAGCCTTCGTCTCCCGCACCCAAACCAGACCTGTGTAACGCCGCCCTACGCTACCGCCGGAAATCGCCTCACGACGGCGGCCGGCCTCCATTTCCGTCCAAAATTACACCCCTTATTTCCCTCCTCCTCCTCGTTACAGATCCACAACCCGTTTCCCTCGAACCCCAACCAAACTCGTCGAATCTTCAACCAAAGTTTTCTGGCCAAAACTCAACCTTCTCCGTTCACCACCAAATTAACACCATGGAACCACCTTGTCCTCCTCTATCAAACCCCCAAACTCCGTCCCTCAAATCTGACCGGAACTCTTCGAATATCGATTTGAAGTTTTCGGTCAAAACCCTAAGTTCTCAAATCTTGTCAAATTCATACCACATGGTCTCCTCCTTCCCCTGACGGCGAATCCAGTGTCAATGGTGCTCGAATCTCGCCAGAGTTGGTTGATTTTTGAGGTGATAAGCCGGCGGAACCCTAAGAATTTGGGGTTCCTCTAATTTTCCCCAATTCCCTGAGTCTAGAGCTCGAGTCAAGCTTCGAGATAATGTGTTCGTGTGTTTTTGTTGAAGAACACACGTTCACATCATTCCGGGGTTGAATCGAAGTCCAATCGGATTATTTTCAAAATCAGTAAGTTTTCCTACTGTTTCTCTTTTCTTTTATTATTTGAATACTAAAATTAGTTTAAACCTTTGGTTAATTCGTTCATGTACGCCTCTGTAAGTTTTGTTTAGTTTAGACATGATTTGGGTCTGCTCATATTAGGTTAGTTTTAGTTCATAAAGGTCATTTTTAATTCATAACTTGGTTATGGATTAATGTTTGTTCATGGTCGATTCTGTTCTGTTGATTGTTTCAATGATTAGTTTAATTTTTGATTTTTGATTTGGTTTAGGGTTAATCCTGTTTCATGATTTCTGATTAGTTCAATTGTGTTTCGATGTGTGTTTTTACTCAGTGTTGTTTCTATTAGTATAGGTTCTAATTTTTTTTTAATATTTAGGCAATCTTGCTGAATCAGTATTTGGTTTGTAATTTTTCTTTAGTTGTTTAGTTTTAGTTGATTTAGTTGTTTAGATATAGCTGAATTAGAATTGTTTGCTTTAACTATAGTTAAATTTTAGCTAGGACAAAATGGGGGCTGGGGAGTTATAGTTCATACTAGGGTTAGTAATTTTAGGGGCAATCAAGGGTAGTTTAGGCATCCAAAATGGGCTGGTTTGTTAAGGGCCAGTAATTTCAGAACAAAATAAGGGTAGTATAGGTATTCCATAGGTAGGAAAACAAAGCTAGAACACCCTAGAACCTTCTAGAAGGGGTCTTAGTGTAAGTTTCATCATTTTAAAAGCAGTAACTTGGGCAACAAGCAAAAACTTTAGGATTAATATGCAATTTCTGAAAATAAAAGGGGGGGGGGGGAATGAGTAAACACTTCCAGAACATTCTGCCCCCTTCTTTGCTTATAAAAGGTAGGCCCAGTGCCTTGTTTTACAAGTTTTAGAAGCTCTAAAAATCCCCCCCACCCCCACTCTCACAAGGCTTGATCAGCTCAAATTTGAATTTCAAATTCAAAAACTTCTCTTAGATCTCATTTTCCTCCAAAAAAAAAACCAAAAAAAAACAACAAAAACAACAGAAAATCCAAAAATCTACTGTTACATTGAGATTTTAGATTGATTGCAAGGCTAGTTTGGTCCTATATTCAATTTCAAGTTGTTTATGGGTTATTTCAAAGCTTTTTGGTTTGTTTCTGGTGGCTGAAGCTTCAGAGAGCTGCTAGGATTGATTTCGAGTGGGTTTTTGGTTTCAATCGAGTTATTTCGGAGTCATTTTAGTGCTATACCCCTGTTACATATTCCTGGGTTAAAATTGTTGTTGTTACTTGCTCTGCTAACTGCTTGATCTGCTGTTGATCCTCATCTCTTCTTGTTGAAATTCAATTTCCAGGTACACATCTCAGATTTGATTCGATGTAGCCTTTCAAGTTGGAAATGAAATGGAAATACTTGCCTATTTGCTCCTTAGACTATGCTTGTTAGACTGTTACATGTTAATAGTTAACAGATTTTAGACATAGTTTAATTTTCGATTTGTATGTACATAAACTTGGACTGTATAATTGGATTCCATATTCGGACTGTATGGCTATTACTTTCGGATTCGTATTGTGAGTCGAATGCCTGGTTCATCTTCAGTAGTTATAAAAACAGGTTTACAAGGGCTTTGAGTCTCAGTAGCTGACTTCAGTAGTTCAGCTCTTCAAATCCAAAATAGTTGGGCTGTTTTTGAATTTAGGCAGTTAACCTGTTTGTGTATAGGTTTACATGTATGACTCTCGTTGTTAAAATTCAATCCATGTCCAGGCTTAAAAATAGGTATTATAAAATCAGCATTGTGGCTTAAACTATTCAATAGTTTAATCGATAATCAGTTAATCCTTGGCTTTCAAAAATGATCTCAACTGTTTTTTTTTTGTGATTAAAAATGAAGTTTTATCATGTGATTCTGCTAATCATCAGATCACTCACCTTTGTCAATTTATAAGTACTACATATGATGATCTTCCTGCTGTGATCTCATTTCCTTGTGTGAGTAACGGTAGAGCTGATATCCAAACCAGCGTAGGTAGTTAAAAGCTGTATTTGAAATCGAAATTTCCCTACTGATCAACTCTCAAATCCATAGCATTAACCCATTAACTAAATGAGTCTGATTGTATGTCCACAGTCATGGGCCAACCATCTAGGCCCAACAAAATCCCTGGAGGTTGAAAATATTGTAAGATCATGGAGATTAATTGGCAATACAAATTTGGGCCATCGGGTTAGGTAGCGGTTCCAAACTAAAAGGCTTGCCCTTTTGTTTGAATCCGGACTTGAACTTGAAGTCCGAATTTTATAATATCAAGTAACTAGGATTCTTTAGAGACAAATTCAATAGATAATTATAGTTTGCTCTAGGATGGCCTATAAACAATAAAATGAAGTGAGCCCCGCCAAACAAAATGCATAAATTGCGGGGCCCTCTTCAAATGTTCCTATTAAAATATTTAGAATTCGGGACGTGCTGTTTAGCGAATTTCACGGCCTCCCGCAAAGATGATAACACGTTAGTCGCGCTTTTAATAATTTTACCTTCCTAAATACGGGTGTGCATTTCATGTGACCCAAATCCAAATCCCAAAACGTTGAATAAGAATGTGTCGAGGATCCGGGTGCATTTCATGTGACGTGATCCAGAAACACGTTTTTAAACGACGTTCACTTTCTTAAAATTTTTTAACTAAAAGCGGTTAAACAATTTTTAAATTGTACTATAGGATAACGTGTATAAAATTAGATTTTAGCCGAATATAATAGTTTAAGCGACCGTGCTAGAACCACGGGATCCGAGGGTGCCTAACACCTTCCCTCGGGTCAACAGAATTCCTTATTCAGAATTTCTGGTTCGCAGACTCCAATTGGGAAGTGGATAATTTTCCTCGATTTGGGATTTAAGTTAAACCGGTGACTTGGGACACCAAAAGCCAAACCTATCCCAAGTGGCGACTCTAAATAAATAAATAATCCCATTTCGAATAATGTCACTTTAAATGGAAAAACTCCCTTATACATTATCCTTCGGGGTAGATGTATAAAAAAAGAGGTGTGACACCTTCTCCCGAATATCTACATTCCTAATCTTATCTAGCCTAGTGTGCCTGCACGTCCATCTCAACATCCTCATTTCTGCCACTTTCATCTTCTGGGTATGAGAATTCTTGGCTGCCCAACATTCAGCCCCATACAATATGGTCGGTCTAACCACTGCTCTATAGAACTTGCCTTTGAGTTTCGATGGCACTTTCTTGTCACGCAGGACTCGAGAAGCTAACCTCCATTTCATCCACCCCACTCCTATACGGTGCATGATATCCTCGTTTATCTCCCTATCCCCCTGAATAATTGACCCAAGGTACTTGAAACTTCCTCTCTTAGGGATGACTTGTGAGTCAAGCCTCACATCGATGTCTGTTTCCCCCGACTTATCGCTGAACTTACACTCCAGATATTTTGTCTTAGTCCTACTCAACTTGAAACCTTTAGCCTCTAGGGTCTGTCTCCAAATCTCCAGACTCTCATTAACGCTGCTTTGCTTCTCATCAATCAGTACTACATCATCACCGAACAATATACACCATGGAACCTCCCATTGAATATGGTGTGTTAGCGCATCCATCACCAGGGCAAATAAGAACGATCTGTGCGCAGACCCTTGGTGCAACCCCGTAATAACCAGAAAGTGCTCCGAGTCACCTTCCACAGTCCTAACCCGAGTCTTAGTTCCCTCATACAGCATACCCCATAACGAGTATGCTGTATTATAAATCCTAGTTTCATATTAAACCAGCATTGTCTTGCGTTGATGCATTTAAAAAAGATACGAGGAATAGATTCTTCCTCCTGATGACATATGGTACAAGTATTGGACGTAAGTATCCATAGCCTATGTAAGTATTGTTAGGTGGGTAAGCGGTTGTGACTCAACAACCACAAAAGGTTCTGATTTTTGGTAATGTACGTAGGTGCCCAATCCACACATGATGATTTGGAATCGCAGTATGTTTGGTGATCAATTTATAACAAGAGGTAACTGAGAAGTCGCCTGATAACGTGTGCACCCAAATGATGCAATCAGGTAGTGTTGGGTAAGTAGGGAGGTAATACTAATTTATCCTTTGGATTAGAGAAGTAGGCAATTCCATGGACTTTATATGGTTAGAGCCTCCAAGAATATGGGTGGCATTCGCGACAGACATTTGCTGGTCTTTATAAGGTAATGGTCCTTGTATTAGGCTACGAATGTTAAGACTAGGAGCTAACCAATTATCATACCAAAAATTAATATGTGTTTCTCGTGTGACTTGCCACACTAGTCCATTTACGCACGCTGCCCATCCAGTAGAAATATTTTTCCACATCATGAAGGTTCTGGTGGGATTCCATCGTGTAGTGGAAGAATATTTGGAAATAAGAATGGATGTCCATTGTGGGTTATGGAATAAACACTATGTTGTACTAGCTAGTAGTGCTTTATTTTTTTCCTTAAGTTTTTGAATACCTAGGCCACCTTCATTTTTGGGAGTCGTTATGACTTCCCATTTAACATATGCAAATGCTTTTTCTGGGAAGTAGTTCCCCATAGAAAGTTCTTTTGGTACTGTTCTAACCTAGCAAGCACATAGCTCGGCAAAAGAATAATTTACATCAAATGGTTTGGTATTGAGTTAAGGGTGGCTTTTATGAGCGTGGCTCTCCCCGCCATGATGAGGTGGTTTATTTTCCAGCCTGCAAGTCTATTTTTAAAATTATAAAGAATAAACTGAAAATCTCTTTTCGTAGGTTTCGATGTAAAAAGTGGAAATCCTAAATATTTGCCAAAGTGTAGTCCTTCCACCATATTAGAAGAATTGAGGATAAAAGATTTGTTAATTTTGTGAGCAATTTTTGAAAAAGAAAATCTTTGATTTTGCAAAATTTACTTTTTGGCCTGACAATTTGGTAAAGTAATTGAGTTGGTCAATAATTGTATGACAACTTCAGTGGTTATTTTGGAGGCCAAAATTATGTCATCCGCAAAAAAAAGGTGAGAAATTGGTGTAGCTCTTTTATGTAAGGTGATTGGGTGCCAAACGTTGTGGTCTACTGAAATGTTAATACTGCGAGGTAATATTTCCATGCACAGTACGAAGAGATAAGGAGATAAGGAATTCCCTTGCCTAATGCCTCTGGTGGGTGTGAAGAAAGGGGTTGGAGTACCATTAAAAAGGATGGATGTAGTGGTTGCTGATATGCAAGACATAATTAAAGTAATTATAGGTTGGGAAAAGTTAAAATAAATGAGGATTCTGCGTATAAAATCTCACGGTCAAAACCTTTTTCAAGATCTATTTTAAGAAGCATATTTGAGCATTTTGATTTAGAAGTAAAGTTGTGAAGTATTCTTGTACTATAATAGCATTGTTTGATGCTCTACGATTTTTTTGGAAAGCAGATTGTGATGGGTGAATTATCGTGTCAAGGATAGGTTTTATGTGATTTACTATAATTTTGGTTATGACCTTGTAAATGGTGTTACATAAACTTATGGGTCTAAAGTGAGCCGGTGTGGAAGGACTTTGCATTTTCAGAATCAAGCATATAAGTGTTTGATTCAATTCTGGAGGAATATGACCAGCTAGGAAGATGTTTTTGCAAAAAGGAATAACTGAATCGTTAATTTGGGGCCAGAATTTTGAAAGAATAAAGGGTGAAGACCATCAGGTTCCGGAGATTTATGAGGATGGAAAGAATATACTACGCTAGTGATTCTTTATCCGTTATGTGGTACAAAAGATTGCTTATGGAAGCATCATTGATAGTATTGAAATTGGAGAATGAGTGATTCTTATTAGATAATATATGGCTCATGTGGTATAGTTCTTTATAAAAATTTGTAATTAGATTTTGTAATTGGTTGTTGTCATAAATCAAATTACGATTAGTATCTTTAAGAGCACTAATCTGATTGCGCCACCGTCATTTAAGAACCGTTAAATGGAAAAACCTCATATTTTCATCTCCCTCATTAACCAAGCTATATGAGATTTTAATTTCCAAAAATCATCTTCCAATTTTAAGATGTGGTTAAATTGAGAGAGGAGTTCTCGTTCTAAAGTTTGTAAAAATCACTCGTTGGGTAGTTGGTGGAACTTTAGATACACACTAGTCGTGCCCTAAGTTGATTTTTTTGTTTAAAAGTATTTCCAAATGTGTCCCTATTCTAGTTTTTTGCTAAGGTTGTAAAATGCCCAACACCTTCCAAATAAGGTGGGTTCGGCTGCCACAATTGATGTACAAGTTTAGAGAATTTTTGGTGTGTAAGCCACATTGATTCAAATCTAAAAGTGGCTTTCCTAGGTGGATTATGCAGGTGCATAGCAAGCATGAAAGACAGTGATCGGAGTGCGTCCGAGGAAAACGATGAACTTGAGCTTCAGGATATAATTTTAGCCATTCATAATTAGCTACTATTCTATCCAATCTTTCTAAAATCATTCCACCGCATATACGTTTATTCGTCCAGGTGTACTTACTCCTTTTATAACCCAAATCAAATAGGTTACAGTAATTAAAGCAGTTTAATAAGGAGTCTGCTCTAATATTATTAATTGAGCATCCTCCAAATTTTTCATTGGAGGAGAGAATATCATTGAAATTTGCTCCTACAACCCAATGCCCTTTATAATTATATGCAACGTGCATTAGGTTTTCCTACAGAAGTTCTCTACAAGTTAATATAGGACTTGCGTAAATAGCTGACAACATAAAAGAATGGACGTGGTGACATACCTGGACCATACAGTGTATTTCTTGGTTGGTGACTGCAACTTCGGAAATTGTTATAATTGAAGCATTCCATAAAATGACGATCCCTCCTACCTGTCCCTCAGCAGGTGCTTGGGACAAATTAGAGAAGTCAAAATCATCCCTAAGGACAGCATGGTCCTGTAGATGTGTTTCAAGGAGCACCACTAGTGGCGGCCTGTAGTAGTTTAACATGGATCAAAAATTTCTACGAAAATAAGGAGACTGTGCACCCCTATAGTTCCAGATAACAAAATTCATAGATTTAGTACGTAAGGGTGGTGCTTGTGGGACTTGCGCCACTATGTCCAGTGGTTTGCCCTCCTCACTGTGAGTTTGCATGGTCTCCCTCAGAGTGGGGGTTATTACCACGACAAATTTTCGGGCCTCCGGATTCGTTGTTGGTTGTAGTTTGATCAAGCACTTAGTCTCCTCCCGTGGGCAGTTAAGTAGTATCTTTTTGCCGTATTGCTCCTTTAGAATGGAGATATGGTATCCCCCTAACCATACTGGCTTTGTTCTTTTTCCCCACATCTCCTCCATGACTACTGCAATTTCTGAGAAGTTAGAATTTATTGTTCGTTTGGAGTTGGTGGTTGTGGGCTCTTGGAGCTGTTTGTTGGAGTAAGAGGTTCGAATGAGCTCATTGGGGACATTGGTGGGTAAGGACGAGGCATTTGGATCGCTTCGTGAATCTAAGGAATAGGAGAATGTGTGGGTGGGTAAAAAGGTAGGTTTGCATATGTTTGAATATGTGGGTTGTTGTAGGGTTGGGTCATAGGGTTCCACATGTATGGCATCCCCCAAATTTGGATGTGTAGAATCTGTGTGGTTGTCTAGAGATACTGGCCATACAAATCTTGTCATTCCCTCGGTGACAATTTATCTTAAGTCTAGAGGATTTTGGAGTCGCATTATCACCTCTTGATTGTTCACTACCATGGTGAACTTTAGTGTATGGTTCTGGAGTCCTAGTTTGAGCCATGATTGTGGTGGGTTATAAGAGTGTGGTGCTTGAGAAGTGTAGATTACTTGATAGTTTAGTGGTGGTGGCATTTGGTGATTGCATGGTTGTGGGTGTGAGGTAGTGGAGATTGAGAGGGCGGAACGGTAGTAGGGATGGGCGTTGTTGGTTTGTACGCAGTGGAAAGAGGGGGTGTTGTGGCTCTGCATGTGTGTTGTGTGGGAGTTTTGAAGTATCAGTGGTGTTGTGTGGCATGTGAGTAGAGGTAAGCAATGATTGTTGTTCAAGGTTAATAGTTGAAGGAGAGTGTGAGAGGGGCGATGATGAGGTAACGTGAGACTCAAGATCTTGTTGTTTGGGCTTCTCACGTGGGCTGTAGAGTGTTGGTGTTTACCGTGAAAAAGGTAATAACAATTAAATTTGATTATGAGATTCTAAAAATACGTGATCTATTTTTATGCCGGTTGTTAAGCAGTCGATGTTATGTGAAAGACTTAGAAATAAGATTAGAGTTTGAGAGCAAGGTGATAATCGAACCGAATGGTTGATAATCGGGGCCTCGAGCCTGCTTATTTGAGGACCTCGGGGTTGAGTCCAAGGCTCGGCTGGGAGCTATCGAGGGTAAGCGATGGGCAACTAACAGTTTGAATAAGATCAATGACGGCTTTTTATGGCCAATAATAAGTAATAAATGATTAACAATAAATAGAACACAATGAATGCAAGCAATAAATGAAGTAATGAACTCAAGAGAATGTGTTAGAGAGAGAGAGAGAGTTCTTGTATATTTTTGTATGGAGCAACCGGTCTTTACAAAATGATAAGGATCCCCTTTATATATGAGGGGGAATCCAAATATAGTACAAAAGCATTAATCACAAAGATATGGGGCAGGTATAGCCACCTACTGCCCTGATACGGGTCAGGGCTAGACCTCTAGGCTTTGTCAGCCTCAGTTATGCGCCTAGGGAACTTCTCGCTTTCTACCGTAACCATCGATTTGCGTTGCCTCGAGGCTGGACACTGATGTCCCCTCGGGTTAAGATTCGACCGTGGCCTCGAGCTTTTGGAAACCTCGCTCCCGAGGCATTGTAATGGCCAAAAATCGGACCCTCCGATTTTACCGTATACAGATAGTCCCCGTGTTTCTTAGAGTAAACGATTAGAAACGACCTTGATAACCGTCTCTTCTAACTTTCCCGTGATGATGTCATACTTATGACGCAAACCTTCATGATGACTGAAGCGTCCCGTTGGTTCATCTTTCCAGAATTACTCATAGCACTACCGTTTCTTATTCTTCAAAGCAACGATGTCGCCGCCGGTTCGGCTCCCAAGGATGCATTAAATGCGCCTGCCGATACGTCTTTCAAAGATAATAATGATGCCGTCGGTTACGCTGCCGACCTTCCTATAAATGGGAACCCCCTGGAATCAACTTTTTACTCAAGTGTCTTCCAATATCTATCCATCCTTCTCTTTTCACCGTCCTTATCCATTGTTGTCATGTTCGAGGTCCGCTGCCTTAAGGATACATGGCAGCGTTCTCACCAGCCGCCCATAGCCTTTTTTCTAGGCCTTTTCTCGTTGAGCGAGATCACACCATCTTGTCATTGTTGTTGTTGTTATTGTTGCTGTCGTCATTGGCTCGAGACGACGAGGTAGGGGGCCGATTTATCCCGGATTGGAAAAAGGTTTGGACTTTACACCGCTGCTCAGGGGGTGTTCGGATTTTATATCGCTGCTCACCTCCCCCGACTACCCGGTGCGGCGCCTCACTCCCTTTACTTTTCATGGAGTGAGGTGGCAATATCTACCAACTGCCGCGTCCCGCACCGGGGTAACGTCTCAAAAAGCGGCTTACTGGTGAAATCCATACTAGCCAAATTTTTCACCCAGCCACTTCTTCATTCCTTTCTGCTTCTTCCGCGTCACTATGCTCTTCTCCACCACTTTCCTCTTCTTCATCTTCTATCCCTTGAAGATACTACTTTGGGGAGACTAAGATGAGACTGTCGAGGAGGCGATGCTCGAACATGCTGCCGCTGAGGATGCTCCCCGGAGAATAGGCTAGGCCCTAGGTTTGAATCATGTGTGTTCACCTTTTCGCTTCTTTGTTTCTGTGTAAGGACCCTCCGTGGGCTTTTGTAATCATATGTAAGGACCCCTCGTGGGCTTTGTAACTGTGCCTATTAATGGAAAAGATGTTTCTTCATTTTTTTTCTATTGTATGCTATATTTCCCCTTATCTATGCTTGTGAAGAATCTGAGTGCTTGACTCCGTCGATCGGTACAAATATCGAGCTCGAGGGCGAGTGTTTCTTTTGACTTTGATTGCTTAACGCGGCTCCCCGCAGAACCCTTTGTCGTTCCTTGGACCGAGCCCGGATTGGACTGATGAATTCGGGTCGCCGGGACCCTGACTTCGAGTTGAATAGAGACTGCCTTTAGGCTTTCGAGAGCAATCCCCGAGTGGGGGTTTGCTCAAATCATCTGGAAACTTGTTTTGAACTTAGTGTAGATAGCTTTAAGGCGTTGTAGATAGATCCCTGGTGAGGGTTTACCCGGGTTCAGATGGTACCCCGGGGCCAAACCCATGTGAGTAGAGTTTAAGCGCTTATTTTCTTCTTGAGAGAAGCCCTCGAGATCAGGTACCATCTCGGGACTTGTAATGACATTGATGGCTTTCTAGAGCCAATCTTCCTCTTGGTGGAGGTCCTCGAGATCGGGTACCACCTCGGAACTTGCAATGATGCAAATGGCTTCCTGGAGTCTTACATCTTTCTAGTGGAGGTCCTCGAGGTTGGGTGCCACCTCGGGACTTGCAATGATGCCAATGGCTTCTTGGAGCCTAACTTCTTTTTGATGGAGGTCCTCGAGGTCGGGTACCACCTCGGGACTTGCAATGGTGCCAATGGCTTCCTGGAGCCTAACATATTTTTTATGGAGGTCCTCGAGGTCGGGTACCACCTCGGGACTTGGTTAACACGGGGTTTTGGACCTTGAAGCATCGTATGGCGACGTCGAGTGTAGGATACGGTTATGAAGCGACCGAGGCAATTCTGCCAGCGTATCTTTCCAAAGCGATAAAGCTTTAGCCAATATTTCTAGTCGGTCTTCGGGAAAGGCGAGTGGTCGTCGCTTTTTCCATATATAGGTTTGTCCGCGCCCTTTTTGAGATTCTGCTATTCCGAGTAGTTATCCTTTTTCATAGAGTTCTCCTTTCTTGCGCCAATTTTCCTTTAACCCAAGACTTCCGCCCAAGTCTTCATTTCCCCTTCCTTCGTCTTACTGTAGCCGCGGGTGCTATGCCTGAATCCGCTCGGCAAGGGAAAAAGAGCTCCGCCTCTGGGCACTTTGCTTTAGAAGGGAGTCTCCTGCCAGAAGAGACTCCAAATGTTCGAGGTTATCGGTTTATGCCTCGAAGACCACTTCTTTTATAGGAGAGGAGCATCTAGAATCAGTGAGGAGAGACTGTGGATGGGGGGAGAAAGTAGCATTGCACGTACTTTCCCCGGGAGAGAGCGTTATGGACCACGCCGAGGGGTTTTTGAACGTGTATACGTACCCCTTCATGCTAGGCCACCCTGATAGGGTTGTGCTTGATTTCTGTCGGAAATATCGGGTCACCTTGGTGCAGGTTCATCCGTCATTTTGGCGGATAGTATTGATGGTGAGGTTCTTTGCGGATAAGGCAGGGCTTGAATTCACACTCAGTTATCTTATCAGGTTGTATCGACCTTTTCACCATCGAGGTCTGTTAACCTTACGATGCCGGCCGGCCACGCCTTTTGTTGCTGATGATGAAGAAGGTGGAGATCGGTAGTGGATGAGTTGATTCATCCGAGCACGGACTGTTGAAATTATTCAGGTGGAGTTTCTGCCATTTCCTGAGGAATGGAATTTTACACGTAAATGGTACATTCGTGCTGTCGTAGTTTTGTTTATGGCGAAGACGAGCTTCATAAATGTGCCTTCTTTTCCTTTCAGCGATTTTGTGGACGCCGAGCGAGGTTCCCAATCTGCCGGGCTGGGTTTGGAAGTTTGTAACCCACTCGACTTACAATGAACGTGAGTGGCGAGCTTTATCTAAGGATAGGTGGGAGGCAAAACACCACGGTACGTGCTATGCGATTTGCTCTTACCCCCTTTTTTCTCGGAAGGGTGCCTTTTCTTTCTGCATGCTAACTCTATTATTGTAGGCATCGGGGAGCCTTCTGAGGCGAGGCCG